AAAACTTTTTTGATCTTATTTTCTTACTGTAAATGGTCCATTTTCATTAGGTTCTAATTGGTCAGCAAACAACTATGAACCAACTATCTAATCCATAAGGTGGTTAAGTTGGAATTTTTTTAAGTCCGTACACCAAAAAAGAATCAAAAAACCAAAATCGAAAATTTCGATAATTATTTTTTCATAATTGAATATCAGATTGTGCGATACGTGTTACATGAAAAATTTTTTTAAGATTCCGTAATTAGAAGCTTCAAGCTTCAAATTGTTGTTTCTTTAATACTACCATTAATATCAAAGATATTTAATTTTTTAACTAGTGTATATTACATCTTTCCATATCTTTAGATATTATAGATTACACTAAGCTTCAAGCACTCACATTTAAATTTTCAATGCATTCACTATGTAGATGTACGTGAGAACATATTTTATCATACAAGCTTGCTACTGACCGAGTTTTTCAGAGAATGAAGAATAGTCCTTATTTCTGTGATATTAAAATATTTTTTACATATTTCAAACTTCAGCACTGCATAGCAATAATGGCAGTTTCACTATCCAGCTAGAGCATAATGGGAATTGATATTGCTAATCTAGTATTCAATGTAGGTAACATTGGCTTAAAAATTTAAACAAAGTAGATCATAACAGTAATTGGAAATGAATTTAATAGTTTCAGAAACATTCGTGTTTCTGCCTTAAAGTAGCTGGGCTAGTGTGATTGTATTTCGGTTTCAAGGTTGGAATAGGACACTGAAATTACAGGATACGAAAGTATAAGAACACAGTCCTTAAGAATGATAATAAATGAATGATACTATTGGCGTCATTGTATATACTGTGATCTCTTTTGTAATATACATATCTATAGACAATAATTACATTTTCCATGAAGTAAGCCTTTGTAAGTTACACAAAAAACTACGAAATACGTGATAAAATATAAAATAAGTAAACAAAATGACAAGAAAATTCACTGGTCTGAAGATATATTTTTTATATTGATTTTAATACAAATAGAAAAAAGAGGAACTACGAATCAATAAGAATTAATTAGATAGAGAACAAATGTAAGAAATATTATCCTCTTACGCCACCAATTATTCATGTCCACATAACCTCATAGCACAAGAATACGTAATTATCTACAAACCCCAATCATAATCCTTCAGTGTCCACTGGCAATACACAGTCACGATTTGCTTTTCAAATTACAACTTTATTACTAAAGCAATACGAGATAGCTAACTATTTACGTTTGCAATATCTTGAAAGATGTGATGTCGAAAGCGCCGTCCAGCGGGCGCGGTAATTTCCGCTCGTGCCATCAATAACTCGTTGGATTTATGTAACAGTGTTTATCCGAGTCTCTCTCCCCCTGGGTCCCTTTGCCCTTTTTGTGTCTGATAGGCAGTGATAAGAGATTGGTTTTAGATACGTTCTTGTCGATTTTCTACGGCCAGCAAATGTCAGAACAATGTTTTCTTTGTTTTATATTTTACCAGCTGCGCCTGGAAGTTTACTCGCCTATACTACTTATATAAGTAATAATCTGTATAAAACGTAACATAATATATGTTATGTTACTTTTTATATATGGCACACAAGCCAACCTGATGAAAAGTGGTAACCGTCGCCTATAGACATGAGCAGTACCATGGACATAACAGAGTATACTGTTTCGCCCTTTGATACCCCCCATGCGTTGCCATTCCTGAGGACTTAGGTGTTCATCTTTCCTCATTCCTCTGTACCCTGTAAATTCACGCCATATCCCACCCTTCAAACACAGCCATGCAAACACAATTGCTTCACGGTTGAAACACGAATGGGACAGAGGTACCCAAGCAAACGACTTCCTACTCTTATCCCAATGATTATTTGGGATCACCGTACTGTTTTTTATCCATATTACAAAAACCATATTACGACCAGACGCCTGCTTGACGTCAATCCACATTGGAAATGCATTTGTTGGTGGTTTCTGCCACCTACAGTATGAAAATGATCATTCAGAAATATTTAAAAGTATTTTTAAATGCTAGTTATATTTGAATTTTCAATTTATATTATAGATATATAATGCAGACGTCGTCAATCTTATGAAAGCATAAGTGCACTTTCAGTGAACGCATTAATGCAGAGAGTGAAAAAGAGCTCTTAAGCCAAATACTAGTTTCATACATATGAAAATACAAGAAAAATTTTAAATTTGTGACCCAATAGTGGTTACCATCCCAACTTAGATCTTTATTAGATTAGATAAATAGATATAGAACGGACGTAAGTTCAAAATGAGTCTAGACCAAAAAATTTTGTGTCAATTTATGTTTTAAAACTTATTCTCGAGTTATGAAAACATAGATAATTAACTAAATTAATCCTAGTGACGTTAGACGTTTCTTGCCAATTTGAATTCTAATATGCTCGATGAAATGTGGGCATGCCGAGAGTTACGTTCACCACAAATTCTTCTGACAAAAATATTAGAAGTTGTAGTCGTATATTTATCTATTTTTATTTTACGAGAAAATGTTTAATACTAATATATTAAAGGGGTGGGGGGAGATGCGAATAGTTGCTACGCTTGTCAAGCGAAATGGCAACCACAGTTAGACTTTGGAGATGTTTTAAGAGAGACGCTGCTGCCCATTATGTTAATAGCTGATATAATAATAGTAATCTATAATATATTCAAAATATTTCTTTCGTTATCACCATCAATAATAAAAGCATACAAATTTCATATAAACTTTTAAATATTAAAAAAAATATCTATTGCAACACATAACGCAATAACGAATTGGAGTAATAATGAATTATTTGCAGTTTAATATAGAAGAGCTCTTGATAAATGATGCCTGATTCTAATGATAATATAATTGCTCTATACAATGATGAAAACCAATCAACGGGCTGAGATCTGAGAATAACAATCAAAACCCCAGTATTATCTCGAAAACATCTCGGAACTCCTTTGGACTAGCTAAGTAAAATAGAGAAGTTTTGTCATTCACGATTTGAGAGCGTTAGAAACAAAGGACAAATCCTCTTTTATTTGTTAAAACAGAAACAATTGCAGTGTCTAACGCATTTGTTGTAAGTGCTGGATTTCGTTGGTTCAACGATTACTTGAATGACAAACGTGCATAGTATTAGTGCACGGGCTTTTTAGTGACCATGTAATTTTAGATATAGTACATTTAAATAAATATATGTCTACTCGTACTTATAATTTAACAACTTTTCGAGCACTGCAATAAATAAAAAAAAAATGATGATTTAAAAGTGCTTGTAAACAAGTCTATTTTATTTAAATTTGATTTAAATTTGTTGTCCACTAAGGAAAGTCTCTCATCTGCACAAACTATTATTTGAAAAGGGAAAAATTGTTCCCAAGCGGGAATCCTATACAGATGTTTCTCTAACAAAATGAAATAAAACGAATGTAGAATAAAATAAAAATAAATGTACCCCCCACGATGTTGAGTGACGACCTCAAAAATGTGGCTGGACGTCAACTAAAACGACTGGCTTAGGATCACTTTCTTTGTGAAGAAATACATGTAATCGAGACATATTCAGTACTGAACAATAGATAGGTTGTAGTAATGATGATGAAAATTGATCAATTAATATAATACAATAAAGCTTAATTTACATTACTTCTTTCTTCTCCTTTCAAACACAATTGTGAATAAATTAAAATTAACTACAGGAAACTAGATTTGCAAACTCAGAACAATTAAAACTAGAGTTTTATATAAAATGTGCTAATTTTCTGATAACTCCATGTACGATAGTCCTTCTCAACATATAGGCTCTTTCACAACATTAATTTCATGTCATAATTACGTAATGAAATTACATTACTCTGGTTTTGATAAAAAATGTTTTGGTTTCCTGAAACACGAATTCATGAAGTGCATACATGCAGTATGAAATCAGAAATCTACATCTAGAATTATAAATGAAAATGTTATGAAACTAGTTTCACGCCACTGCTTTTGTAATATAAATTAAGCTTGAGGTTGACTGCGATTGTAAATGCGATTATAACAATTAGAAACCATTGTATTATATTGTGTATATTATATTGTGTATTATTAAGAGTTTTGTATAAGTCTTCTGGGTATCTATTCAGGTGAGACTATATTATCTGTTTTGTACTCTGAAACAATTCTCGGAAACGGCAAAACACAGCGGGTTCGTTAATATCTCGTTATATATGTATATAGACAGGGTATAAAATTAACATAAATAAAAAAAAAAATTTACTATGCATTGTTTCGTTTCGGTTTGATACGTATAAAATTAAATGCAATTCATGAAAACCATAACACCTTGAACGGCACAGTATATTCTAGAATAGTCGTAAAGTTATACAATTTATTACTTTTCAATTGTTATCTTGTTTAAAATTCACAAAATTAAGTAAATAACAATGTATGTAGAAACAATAATAAGATATCAATACCAATAATGTAGCAATATCTATGATGTAGTATAATCCCGATTGCAGCTATGTTAATAGTTGTACGTTAAAGTACAAAAAAAAAAACTAAAATTTGTTTATAATTTAAGACGGGCATTAATGTATCACCAAACTATGACACCTAGGTGCGGAGCAATGTAAGAGAAACCCTGAAAATCTTCGCGGACCAAGACCTATTTGTAATGCAAGAAGTGTCAGAGCCTTGACATGATTCCGTGGCTTGTTTTCGTACAGTCCTAAAATATTAATGGTCAGGCGGGCCCTAATCCAAACAAGAAACTGATGATTTATTCTTAATGAAATTCTTCGCTCGCTATTTTTAACTGCGACATTCAACACCTAAATATAATGAGTCGCTTTGAAATAAAATAGTTTGTACTAACGCTGTAACAACCAAAATAATGACGAGTCAAGGTTGAGCTTTCTATAAAATGGCCGTAACGGTCCGACAGATGATTAAGACACCTCATGTCAAAGTTGTCCAAAGCGAGAGCATACTCACTGGTGTTCTGGGGCGGGAGACGCCGCTGAGTCACTCACACTGGATGATTGGAGCACAGATTCACTATGAGTGGGTCAACGGTTGTATGCCAGTGGTGGACTAGTAGGTAGTGGCGTGTAAAATTAGCGCGGCGAGCGCTGCTCAGCGGTGCGTCGCGCGTCGTCGCTGTATAAGCGGCGGGTGGTGACTAGGGCGTCTCGCCGGCGCCCGCCACGCCGCCGCCGCGCCGCCGCCCGCCCCGCGCCTTATCACACGAATAAAATTTATTTAATGGATAACCACCCGACGATGGGATATCCATTGAAATTTTCCGTTTTACGACGCGATTATTAATGACTTAAGTGCTGTTTGCCGTATTTTTTCTGACCTACCGTTTACGACTATGGACGCGTGTTTATTTGGGCGGGGACATTTTATTAAGAGCTTTGAACGCTAAATGACTCTTGTTTTAGAGCGGATTGTGTTTTATCACTAACCAAAGACGCAACCGGTCATTAGTGATGTAATTTAAACAGTTGCGTAGCGATGTTGTATCCTTATGAGTTTTTTATCGAACATATCATCTGCAGTAACAGTGTTTTGGTATTCGAATTACAGGCTGCTGAATTTCTTCATCGATTCTGAATTCCTGATTCGAATTTCTAAAGGAGTGACGGTCCTCCAGCGTGTGATTTCTAGACTCCGCTAACCAAAAACGACAATACTGAATAATCAAACTTTAGCAGCACCCGACATGGAAACATTAATAAAAAATCATGTCCCTATTTAAAAGTCTGATAGGAGCTCTGCAATTAATCCGATATTCAAGCAGCAGTAGTCATTTGCCATCAGAGGGTCTGGAAGTCAATGGACTTTTAAAAAATGCATGGGCATTAAAATAACTTAAGAAACTGACTGACAAAATAAACCTATCACCGATACCATAGAATTTTCATGAACGTAAACGTAAACGTTCCGCTTCTGGTCTACCCTGGTTAAATTCAGTCACGTTTTGACTTGAATAATCATTAAAGGCCTTGAAGATAATCGAAGGTCGTTGGGATCAAGTTGGTGTTTTTAGAAACATTTCCTGCTGCTCCTTCCTGTTTATACCTCCATCTATCTTCTATCTTTTTATCTTTAGAGGTTATTAAGTTAAGGAAGATTGTTTATTAATACTGGGGCCAAATCTGAGACGCTATTTCATTAAACCTATTTAATATTTCAATTTGATAATTAATGTAAATAATATATGTATTATACGAGTATATACCTATATTATTTTTGAAATATTGTTTTAATATAATATTGTTCATTACGTTGAACCATCAATTACATTATCTATTATTCCTTATTGTTATTATTAGTCTACAGTCGACTGGTAGATAACGCCATATGGTGTTAAGTCCGCCGTGTAAATGGCGGACTGCGAATGGCGAATATCTAGGTGTATTAAATTTAATAAATAAATAAATTATTTCACGAATTGCTATTTTATGGATCACCATTACCTAAATTTAAATTAAATTGTGACGTAAATCTATTTAGAAATTTAGTTCATATTGATCCTTACAGAATATAACGCTGTAATATAAAATTTAATTTTAGAGATACATTAAAGAAATAACGTCTCAAAATCGACTTCACTGTGATAATACGAGTATGTTGGTATAAAAATTAGCTTAACTAAAGGTCTTATTAAATGAACAAATACTAGAAGATAAATATGTAGGATTATATTTCAAACTACAAATTAATAAAGTTCTGCCATTATGAATTCTGCTAGATATTTAACCAATTGTAAATTTGTAACTATCCAGTTCTTGCTTTATTGATACTAACTAAATTCTCCGTAGTATGGTCTACAAATGTAAACATATGTCATTCCCTTACAATGACATGGGTAATAAATACAATAGTTAATACATTGTCAGTAGGTTAGGTCTGTTAGCTTTAATATATACGGAGTACAATCAGTATAAAAAATTTAATATCACATATTGATTTCCAGCCCCCCCCCCCCCCTTCGCGATTCTTTCAAATCAGACTTTGACATTTATAATATTAATAGGAGTAATATGCAAAAGCGAACCCTTAGCAATAGCTCTATGGTTCAGACTCGTGCTCGCGTCAATGTCGCTCATGACTAAGGATCACGAATTGATCCCAAAACTAGTTGACCTTTTTCGATCTACTTACACGGAAGTTAAACCGGTAGTTATTACATTAAAATACTATGGTAATAAGACTGTGTTCCATAAAAAAAAACTGATTTAATTTCTGGCAAAACCGATTATTTCAATTTAAAAACTAAACTAATGAACCGATTTTGATAAATTTTCTATGGGACCAATCCGTAAATATAATATAATATATATTCAGTGTCAGTTGTGTATAAAAGTTTAATAAATAAATCAATAGAGTGATTCTGTATTTATCTGAAAAGGACTTTCGATTTATTATTTCGTGAGAGATCGTATACTATGTATGAATAAAGAGACTGTACAAAACTCATTTGCTTGGGTACTTCTGTCCCATTCGTGTTTCAACCGTGAAGCAGTTATGTTTGCATGACTGTGTTTCGGTTTGAAGGGTGGGATGTGACGTGAATTTACAGGATACAGAGGAATGAGGAAAGATGAACACCTAAGTCTTCAGGAATGGAAACGCATGAAGGGTATCATAGGCGAAATAGCTATAATATAACTCTGTTATGTTCATGGTACTGTTCATGTCTATAGGCGACGGTTACCACTTTCCATCAGGTGGGCCGTCAGCTTGTTTGTCATTCTAAATTGTATAAAAAAAACAAAAAATCTTTCTAGTTTGTGTTACAATAATGTGTGTGTGTATGTGTGGGTGGGTGTGACTGTGTAGTGTAAATTTATGTAAATCTGTAATATGTCATGTTTAATAAATACATCGACTTTTGCTTCCGACTGTACCTACCGCTAGTAATCTATACAGCATAATTAAAAGTTCCACTTCAAACGTTGGTTATGAGCCGCATAATTATGAAGGGTAACTTCCGTTCTAATAGTGTGTATAATGGTATTACGGAATGAGTTTGTTATTAATGGTATTATAAGCTAAAGAGTATATATTTATTTTTGCACACGTTAAAATATGCATACAGGGCGAACTTAAGCCTGTATGCATATTTTAACGTGTGCAATTCTTGATCTTCGATAGCATTCTCTACCAGTGAACCATTACATTTACCAGTAAAATGTAGCAAAAAAAATCCAATTTGTTATTTATATGTATATAATATAGTATTTAGATATTTACTACATTAAAGAGAAATAAAATATATAAGCTGAGCTGAGAGCAATTAAACAAGTATTAATATTTATTTACTCTTAAGTACGTAATTATAAAAATAAAAAGAACTTAAAAAACATCAAAGGAGACTTTGTACAAAAGTCGTCCGCTTGAGTATCTCTGTCCCAATCTTGGTATCAGCAAAATTACAAGGTACAGAGACCTAACATCACATTCTTCCGAAATGACAACGCATAAGGCCATGCCATGGGCTTCACAATGTATTCTGTGATATCCATGGAACTTTTTATAACTATAACCGACGGTTACCGGACAGAAGGACTTGTTAGTAATAGGGACTACCAGTCCCATTGCTAGCAATGTACGCTGTCAGGTCGAACTCCACATGGTTTCACCTGGAAACCATTGTGCTGTATTCCAGATGTATTCATCACGATAAGCTAATTTCCTGCTTTTTCATTCTTACCTATCATCCCTCACTGGTACCCCGCCAGCGTACATCGTCAGCGCAGGCGAGGTTACCAGTCCATAAGCATCCATTAAAAAAAAAGGGAAAAAGCTGATGGTTACAATCTTTATTAGGTCGCCTGACAACTTATTTACTATTATCAGTATAAGAAAAAATACATTCTTAAAACTTATTCTTAATAAAAAGTACTTAGCTATAACTTTTTTGTAAAATAACCAAATATATTCAAACACTTATCTTAATACTCGTAACTAGCCTCTGTAACCTTTAATTAGGTGGTAGACCCAAAGGTACAAGCTTCTAATTACGCAGACCCGACGGGCACAATCAATAATCTATTTTAAAGTAAACCCTTTTTCGATTATTTTTGTCTTATTTTTAATTAGGTGATACACGCCTACGAAAATTTGCAATTTGTTAATTTTATTTTCTTATTAGATAGATTAGTATGGCGACTATAACTGCGTGGCAAATTATGAGGTCACATTACCTTGTAATTCAACATTGTTATTTAAATTATATCTGTGGTAAATTTCATCCAAACTAGTTGAGTACTTAGGATCTTTCGACTGTTTTCTACTAAGAATAAATTAAGATTTTACTAATAAATAAATACTTAGTAGAAACAGACTCATTTTAATATTTAAAAACATTTTTTTTAAGAACTTTAAGAATTTACATAAGGTTTTGGGTCTAGCAATAAAAAAAGAGATATCTCTACTAAAAATTTTTATATGTACTTAGGAAAACCAAGATCTTTTGAAATTTGCACATACACTCTAAACTAAATCAGTAACAAATCAATACATAAGATCAATTAATAGATTTTTTATTAATACTACTATTAGACATCTTTTTGTCTGTTTGCTTTATGGTCGGTTCAATTATTTATTTGTTTATATTCGCATTAATTTTTCATTGAAATAAATTTAAATTCAAATCATTTCCATTCCAATAAACTTGTTTTAAAGCACTTGTAAATCGTTATTTCTTTAATCTACTGCATTTTAGATTATGCCTATATATTTCCTCTACTGAAACATACCCGAATGGAATAACGAGGGGAAATTCCAACGATTCGCCCGCGATATACCTCCTGTGTCGATTACAATTTTCTTTTCAGAATGATACTATCCTAAGCTGTGTTTAGTATAACAGGAAAACTACTGTAAAAAAACAGATACGAAGACATTTTGGTATATATACCTAAAAAAGAATAATACTGACTGAAAGAATTTAGTTGAGTGCACCTAAATAAATATATACTGGACGATTAAAAAAGTAATATCGAAAATACATCACAAACTATATTCTTTTAAATTTAGATATATTTCACATTATTTCTTTAAGGATTCTTATACATAATAAAATTTCAAAATGTTGATTCAGACAAAATGATTATTTAGTTATTTTTTTATTAATAAATAAGTTTCATCAGCATT